ATTATCAGATAAAGAAATAATGTTGTCTGCCTCCGCGAAGTGCATTAAAACCGACCGGATTCGACAACTTTTGGTGAAAGTTTTGTACTCACCCAGGCTTAGTGGACTGAACCAAGGAATAAAACTTGCGTAAAATGTCATTAAGCATGACTGCCGAGTGTGTTTTCAAATCCGTGTTCTTTTGTTTTTGGCAGAGAAAGTCAATATTCTTATTCTTCAGCGGCATCCCATTCCTCAAAATCCTTGTAGCTACTCTCCAAATAAGTTAAAAGAAATGTTAAAATCAGCCATTTTTGTTTGTTTTTTCCCTCGGAAGTTGTTTGACAGCTGCAGTGTTGCAGGACTGCGTCCCTAGCAACGCTGGGCTACATAGCAACTGTGTAATGACCGTTGCTACTAGCAACAGTCATTACACAGTAATATCAGACCGCTGAATGCCGCGACCGATCAATCAGAATACAGCATTTAATAGATCCGTGTAATAATATTCAATAATGTAATAAAATTTTGTCTATATATCTATTGCTTATTTTCACTCATTACACATCCTAATGTTGGGATTCACAGGACCACAGATGGTTTATCATTTGGTAAAATCATCACTGGACAATTTAAAGGCTTTTTCCTCTGCATGCTCTTTGTCTTCAAACAAAGAGGGCTATGCGACACCCATCTCACCAGGAGATCTCACCTCACACCTCAGTGAGACTCAAGTCCCAAAACTTGATTGGACCTTTACAGTGACATGTGACTCTGATGTCACAGGCATCTGTAGATCTTTGCTCCCTTCCACAGACCTTTCTCTTCTTGCTCCAGCTGCTGTAGCAGCTGCACCCCTCTTTCCGGCTGGGCCTGGGACAGCAGAGGCCCACACCCCTGCTCCATAACCCAAACCACTAAAGGGAGGGCAACTGATCACAGACTCTGTTGCAAACACAAGGCCATTGCAACTAGCTTTCCAGCAACAAGGAACTAAGTGAGTTAGCACCCAGCGTCTAACTCTGCAAGGACCCTGAGCGACTAGCTTCCTCGGATCAGAACCTTTGGAACAAAGGACCCAACAAAGACTGCAGCTGGAACCACACCTTCCCAGCCTTCTTCTGCCGGCTAACAAAGCAGCACACCACCAAGTGACTCTTTCTTCCATCCATTCAAGGATCGGTAATGTAATAACTGGGCATAGCTTATCACAGCTTTACAGGCTAAGCAAGACTGTGTAACTTGTTGTATGTGATTTGATGCTGTTTACTGAGTATTGTTGTGATTGTTTGCAGTTAGGTCATTGATTAGGTGGCTTCGCCAAAGCTAAGTGTTTAGTTTGCTAATACTGTTCACAAACACATTCTTGCACCCAACTAAACAATCTCTGCACTAATCCAGACCGTTTCCAACACATATCACATTGACATAGACTCATTAACAACTAGGCTTTCAACAGAGCTACACCCATACAGGCATCTCAAAGTTCCCCGCTTCTTTTCCTTTGTCTTTGTCCTGACCACACGGTCAGACAAATACCTCCCCCTGAAGCCAGCCTTGATTTGGCCATTTTGGTAGTTCTCTGTTGTCAGCCATTTTGCTTTGTAGGCCAAACGGCTCCTTGATCACCACATCCGCCTTTGTCTTTCTCTTCTTTCTCTCTCTCTCTCTCTCTCTCACACACACACACACACACACACACATATACACACCAAGTTTGTATATAGTTAGTTAGAATTTGTGTGTTTTGGTTTGCTTTGCTAATTTGTGAATAAATATAATTCTTTGGAATCATGCCTGCTGTCTGTTTAATGTTGCACAAGAGTGAATCAATAGTCAACCTCTGCTGCATCAAGAACTCCGAAATCCTTCAGGCGTTACTGTTTATTTTGGTTGTCATTAATTTAATTATTAATCAAACTCCAAATTAATAGTTTAGCGTATTTTATGAGACTGATATCTTTAACCAGCTATCATTTTTCCCTTTACGGGAATGGTGCCCCACGAGGTGATTTAATGTTAATTAAGTCACATTATTTAACATAATTATTAATTATTAATAATAATTATTAATTATTTCTGATAGCCAATTAAATCCCAACATATTTGGTGCCTCCGTGTGAAGCCTAATGTGTTGACCCCAACATTTATGGTGCCGCCAAGTGGGGTAAATATATGTTGACCCCAACACTAAGTATTTAATAGAAGTTGTCCACTTAAATGATTGTTGTAAATCCTGTGATGTCTTTTTGTTTCCCTACTGCCATTATTTCTGTTTTCTCTCCATATTAATTTTATAACCTGAGACGGATGAATATTCAGAAATAATTCTCAAAAGGGAAGGAGTAGAATTTTCGATGCCCATTAAATACACCAAAAGATCATCTGCAAAATTAACCCTATGGGCCCGAATGAAGCATAGTGCGTCCAAATTCACACCTGTTTTTCTCTATGGATTTTCTCCGCAACCGTTCGTCATAGCGAGAAGCACTCATATCACGTGAAACAGCGGAACTGCAGCTTTCCAACAATACCAAGCACTTGTCGGTAGTCCAGTGTTTTCACGAGGGAAAAAAATGATAAAGTTACACTAAAATTATGAATAACAAAGCTTTCATAGAGCTTTGCACACACATTACTCTTGGATGGATTACTCGCGAATGCAGGAATTTCTTTACAGTCCATACAGATCTTGTTATCAGTCACTTCATATAGTGAGGAATAATATTATTACTATTTTTCTATTATCTTAGATGTAAATATTGCATGTCTCTTTCAAATACTTGACTTGCTAACGAGTCAATGGAATTTCTTGCAATAATGAAAAAAGACTGGCAAACATGTCCGCCTGGCACAGACCACATGTTTTGGACAACTGTGAAGTGACAGAATGTCCCACCATCATGGTTCTTATATTGCCAGATTCCAGAGAGTTTTCCCGCTTCATATATGGCAGAATATGTCTACTTCCAACTTGCTATGGTGAGATACATGTAAAAATGCAAGAATTTAGTAACACAGATTTTATTTTTCATTCATCTAGAAATTAATATAAAATACAGTCACATAGAAGGATATGCAATGATGGCAAATCTTGATAGCCCAGATTGTCCTGGAAAAAAACCCCAAGATATAGCATGTGTATGTAGCCTTTATAATGACTGTGATATGAGCTTAAAAGTAAAGACAGTAAAAATATTAAGCTTATATTGTTTACCTATAGTGACACCTGTTACCTTTGGCTCTTGACTTATTTTCTCTGCCAGTGGTTCTATAGCTTATGCAAAAGGAAGTGGAGAAAGTGTGCAACCCTGTCTAACTTGATTTCCACAAGGAATCCATCCATACCTAGAGCTTTTTTGAAGGCAAATGTTTTAATTGTTTGTACTATCTCAGCTTCTGATATCTCTGTATTTAACTGTTCTTTTTTTTTTTTTTTTTTTTTTTTTCATTTGAAATTTGTTTCAAGTTTATTGTGCCCAAGAAGGAACTTGGTTCTAATGGCTTGTTTTTTCTGATTTATATAAGATTTCATAAAACGATTTGAAAGTATCATTAATAAGTCTATTATTCCTGATTAATGCATTTGAATCCTTAGCTTTCAGTATTATAGTTGATTTGGCTTTTATTCATTTTGTAAGAGCTGCCAAGGGCTTACCTGGTTTATGTGCCATTACATAAAAGGCTTTATTTGAATTAAATCTATAATTATTGGCTTTTAAAAGTAATAAATCATACTCCTGTTCAAGTTTAAACAATTTATCTTCCAACCCTTGTACCATTTTTATGAGACATTTCTAATGCTGCAATATCGCTTTCTTTTTCTTTGATTTGTAAATCTAATTCATTCTTTTCCTTTGCTGAGTAGGAGATTATCATTCCTCTAATATATGCCTTAAAAGCATCCCTGGTTAATTCTGGAGTTGGTGTGCTGTTTTCCCCCTCATTTACATTTGTAGTAATAAAAGTATGTATTTTATCATTGACATAAATTATAAAATCTGTGTCTTGTAAGCGTGCTCTATTCATTCTCCATATTCTATCACTCCATTTTCTGTTGGGATGATATGACAAGAGCCCTGTGATCGTTTGGCGACCAGGGTGTACCCGCCTCTCGCCAAATGTAGGCCACCTTATTCACCAGTTGATCCTATTAACACAAATGCTACCATCAATAGCATGCAAACATTCATAACATCAAAGTGTCAAAGTGGCAACATCAAGGACCTGCCGACTGTGTAGCTGAGTTGCAGTAGCATTTTTGTTAATAGGATTATTAGTTTGATTATTATTTGTCACACACCAGAAGACTCAAACGCAGAATCACAGGACGGAGACAGGAGTAAGGCAAAACAGTCACTTTACTTAGCATTGTCACCACACAGCAAGAGGGTTTCTGGTTAAAACCCAGGGTCTGGGGTTTGAACCCCGGGGTGGGGGAGCCCTTCTGTGTAGAGTTTGCATGTTCTCCCCATGTCAGCATGGGCTTTCTAGTGGGTACTCTGACTTCCTTCCAGAGTCCAAAGAGATGCAAGTTAATTGGTGACTCTAAATTGTCCATAGGTGTGAATGTGAGTGTGAATGGTTGTCTGTCTCTATGTGCCAGCCCTATGATAGTCTGGCAACCTGTTCAGAGTGTATCCCGCCTCCCATTCAATGTCAGCCGGGATAGGTTCCAGCCCCCCCTCGACCCAATTGCAGAAAATGAATGAATGAATGAATGAATGAATGAATGAATGAATGAATGAATGAATGTAACGTACTGTGTTGCTTCCTTTTAAAATGTGTTAATTATGTATATATTATTAGCGTATCTAATATTGTTATTATAATAGCAACTGAATACCAGCCTAATACATTTTTACATTATCTCATTTTACACATTTTCAGATATATGATGAAATGTGAAATGTAATAAAATGTCTTTATCAATACAGCACAAGATACATTTTCATTGTATTCTTCAGTGGTAAGGCAGAAGAGCTGAAAGATCATTGTTAAAGAGAAATATAACGACACTGTGAGGCACAAAACACAGAACTGATTTAATATTTAATAAGAAACAACAGCACTGAAGTTTTCCATGGTGTATTTACATCATTTGAAGACACTCCTAGACCTAAAAGCAATGCATTGTGAGTTATGTTAAGCATACAAGTGACAAAATATGCAAGTAGTTATTTTCTATTTCGTACTAATAACCATGTGACAGTTGGCTATATATATGTTAAAATATAAATGTTTATACTAAAATCAGTAATTAATGTTTGTAATGAACAGGAAATACCAATCAAATAATAAATAATCTTAATGCAAATATAAAATACATAAGTATGGCCACCATTAAAACATTAATCATGGAGCAGCATATCTATAACATCATACTCAGATGCTAGGCTGACTGCTGATTCTACATAAATACATTTCAACAAACTATGGTTGATTACAGAGCCCAATAATGCTTTTTTAAATTTACTTCAATAAAATCTGTTTATTCTAGGGTCAAGAAGTGGTGACAGTCTTTGGCAGATTTTTATAAACTATGTTCACGTTAGCAGACATTGACAAAATGTTCTTTTTTAAATCACACATAAGAGACTGCACATGTGAACTGAAGCTAAGGTAGTTGAAAAATAAGTGCATACTGCATGTGTGCACTTGCTTTTTTTGGAAATTGTAACAAGCTAAATTTAGACCAAAAAAAGTCAATCATAACAGAGATATGAGTGAACAAATTAAATCAGTTAATCATCATGTATATATTTAGCAATTTTTTTTAGAATCCCCAAAATGCATTACTCAGGGACACATGGATGTCTTTACGAAGGACAAAATGAGCCATATCTTCAGTCTTCCATTCAGTACACACTTTGCAGATATTCTTGCCTTTAAAGATGCAATCAGTAATATCATTCAGTACTGCTGATGGAGGGCACAAGTAACTGGAGTGTTCTCTTGAAGTGCATTGCATAGCACTGCTGGTCTTCATGCGAGTAGTTATTTTTTCTGATGGCAGCACCTGACTTGAGTCAGTCTGCACTCTGTGAAGATGTGGATACCTGCCAGCATAGAATGAAATTAAACTTTACATTCAAAATGATACTTTCCAGCGTTATGGGAAATGTAGGATCCAGCATTGAGCTTGACTCTTACAAAGGACTAAGTCAGCGTATTTAGGCCTCTGATGTCTCATTGACCATCCTCTGATGTCTCTGACCATTCTCTTTATTTATTTTATTTTTTTTAAATCTGTCCCTTGTGAGTCTATAAACATTATCTAAGTGCAATACACCAGTGCAGTACCCCTGTAACATAGAAACAGTAAATTTGAAATGTAGATCAAATCCCAGTGTGGAATTTACTCAAAAGACAAATCTATGGAGTTATGTTAAGCATATAAGTGACAGTATTAGTAACACTACAGAGCCAGACTTTAGTGATTGCACCTTTATCTAACAGTTATTATATTCATTCACCAGCAGGATTCTGGATGGTGATGATTAAAATCACTATGCTTCAAACATTCTCCATCTCTCATCAAATGCAGGTAATTAATCATTTATTCATAAACATCAGTCCAGGTGTTGAAGTTCAGTGTTGTATTTCAGCAGAAAAGGACATCAGATAATTGACTGGTCGGGTAAAATGGCTGGAGAGGAAACCACATAAACTGCTCATTATTCCATCACAGCATTTTGAGACGTAGCATGCACCTCGTATAAATTTAATAACAAACTGTCATGTCAGTGGGCACTTCTAACTGCAGGACGTTAAAAGCAGCCAGCAAGTTATTTTTGATTGTTAACTGGAAGAATAAGATGGTGAATATATGGCCCAGTATGCAATGTTGCAGTTCCCTTAAGCATACTCAACAGAAAGGCACCACTGATATTTTTTCTGCACTGAAATACACTGTGAATTGTTGCTACATACTAGTGTATGGCACTTTACCTACAAGACATGAACATATTTGTACATGTTTTTTTCTTTTTTTATAAAACTCTTTATTTACTACATCACTAAAATAAAAGTTTAATTTTCCATTTCTCTTTAAAAGTCTTTACACAGCAAATAATCTTATATAAAATAAAGGTTTAATAGTGACTATTCCATTTTTCTCTCAACATAAAGGATTCTCGGCAATTTAATATTACACAGCGACTGGATCTTGTTTGGTGGTGAGACTGGATGACGTGTCTTGCAGGTCATCATTTGGTGATGCTGGGTTAGTCCTGCTCATGTCCATAGCTCTGAGCAACAGGGTTGTGATGCTATCTGAAGTAATGAAGGGTGTGTGTTCCCCCTTAGGCTCCTCTGTTTCGCTCACTAGCATGCTGTCAGTACTGGATTCCACATTTTGCAGCACATGGCCATTGGTGACTCTTTTGGTGCTGTAGTCGTTGGTGTTGGTGTTTGTATTGAGTAGCTTCTCAGGTGATGCTAAGAACATATGGCTGACAGCTGGGTTGTCATGGTCTCCTATGATTTGGTAGTTACCATTCTCCATAGTAAACAGTGGGCTTGGTGGTAAGCTATGTGCCTCATGGCCATGGTTGTAGTGAGCTGAGGTCCTCTTCTGTTCATCTCGGCTCAAGGACTTGTGTGGCTGACGTGTGTTTGACAACAACAGGGGACGCTCCTCCTCTCCAGAGGGGCTTAAAGCCACTGAGGGAACAGAGATAGCCAGGCTGGACAGGGGTGCTGACATCTCTGATGGAGGAGACCCTGGAGTTGCAGGAAAGGTCCGGGACTCCGGGGACAGCTGAGGCTGGGTTGTCATGTCAGATACAAACCTACAACAGAAGCACAATTGCAACAGAAATGCGTTTTACACTTTTCCTTGAACAATTTCATGTGCAATGTTAACCTATGATATTTACAATAAAAAAGTACATATTATTGTCTGAGTTATTGGACATAATACTGAGTCTAATACACAACAAACAACAAGTTTAAGAATTGAACACTGCACAGAAAAACAATTTAACGGCCCATCAGATAACAGTCCATTTTTTAACCATATTTTCTAAAGTACTCTACACTAGCTCCATCGTAACCAGTGTCGGGGGTAATGCTTTATAAAAACCAATGTGTTACAGTAATAAATTACATTTTAGTAATAACAAAATAATATAACATGTTACCAACAGGATTTCGGGTAAAATTACTACATTTACAATGTTATGTAACACATTACCACTCAAAATAATCTGTTCATTGTTTTCTTTTTTCAGTTATCCACACTGATCCACTTCCACCAGTTTGCCAACAGAAAAAATATCATCCAAAAGTTATTATGTCTTCTCTGGGTCATGCCATACTGTGCGTTATCATGTTCAGTGTGTTTCCATTGATATAGGTGCAACATTGACAATGTATCCCGTTCTGCTTTTGCATCCTAACCCTGCTAGAAAGCAGTGGCAATAAGGAGCGGGCCTCCAGTTTGTTTTTTCTTTGTCCCTATGATCAGCACATCTGGGTGATGTTAGTATATGTTGGATGTGTTTCCATTCACATCCCCTACAACTGTAGAGCAATGACAGGTGGGTCTTTCAGCTCTGGTGTATTAATTTGCACTCAGCATAGTGACTTAATCATACATTATTCTGTTTGTTGTGCTAACCTTAATATTTGTTTATGTTTCATATCATAGGCGCACAAATATTTATCCATATCTCATAATAATTAGACTTTGCTCCTCTGTCTGAACCTCCCGGTGTCCAAGGCTACTCATTTATTTTAAATGGTCTCGGCTATAAGACACCGCTAAGACACAGTTTCCTTTGGATGGTATTTTTTCTGTTGGCAAATTGGTGAAAGTGGAGTGGTGTGAATCAGTGTGGATAAATGAAAAATGAAAACAATAAACTGTTTATTTCAGGTGGTAACACATTACATGACATTGCAAATGTAATCAAATTACCTGAAATCCTGTTGGTAATGTGCTAAAACATAATATATTACTGTAGCACGTTACTTTTGTGACATGTTCAATTCAATTCAATTCAATTCAAGTTTATTTATAAAGCCCAATATCACAAATCACAATTTGCCTCAGAGGGCTTTACAGCATACAACATCCCTCTGTCCTTTGGACCCTCACAGCGGATAAGGAAAAACTCCCCCCAAAAAAAACCTTTCACTGGGAAAGAAAATGGTAGAAACCTCAGAAAGAGCAACTGAGGAGGGATCCCTCTTCCAGGACGGACAGATGTGCAATAGATGTCGTACAGAACAGATCAGCATAATAAATTTACAGTAATCCATATGACAAAATGATGCATAAATAAATAAATGTTATCCCCTACACTGGTTTTATCAACTTCTAACTATATGTCTAACTACATATCTTGACCGCACAGGTTATCCAGCCAAACACAGGGCTTCTGCTCTCAGCTGTGTGTAGCTTCTTAATTATGTTGCAAGAAAAGCACACCATGGTTTTTCGGTTCAATTCTATCAACACAAATGTATAGGGAACCCAGTGCTGAAGCAGCTTGTTATAGGTCTCTGCCTCAGGTCAAAGCTCTTTACACTGTGTAAATATTTTTCACATCCAACAGCAGATTTCTGGAGAGTGTGTGTGCCACTTTGTATTGCATACTTGCTCTACATAATCATAACATCACCAAAGTATTTTAAGCTTTTTTCCTATCTTTTTAACAGGACTGACCTTGACACCTATCAGCCTGCTCTGTTTGTTTTGCTTCTGTATGAAGATTGGCAGCAGCATCCATTTTTCACAGACATGATATGCTCCCTTCATACCAGCCTGGCTTAGTGCTGGCAGCACAGAGCCAGACAAGTATTAAGGGCAGCAATTTTTGGGTGCAGCTTTGCATCCTCAAAGTCACTCCTTCACCACTCATCCACCAGGGTTTGAGCGCTAGCACCAGATCGACTGACTAAGTAGGTTCTAGATGGCTAGCTAACTATCTACTGGTGAGTGGCATACAACTCACTTCCAGCACATAATTTCTGGTGTTAGTCTCATTGTGGTAGGGACAAATTGAGACAGATGCACACATTCTGAATATTGAGGGGGACTTGTCCCCTGCGTCACCTCCAAATTCTACACCTATGCTATTTGGAATACTGCCCATTCCATGGCCATCTGCTCTTGATTTGCCTTGTGGATCATTAAATATCATTTGAAATATTTAAAGGAACACTCCCCAGACTGTGTGAAGCAGCAGTGGTAAAGCATATTTGGTGAGCCTTGTTTATCTCTATTATGCTGCCGCCAGTGTTTCCCATCTTTTTCCTTAATATTATAATATAAGTCAGAAGAGTGGAGACTCAGTGTCAATCTTAGCATTGAGTGGGAAATTTAAGATACAGTTGAGTGTAATTACTTGAACCAGACTGAGCATGGATAAAGTGGGATAATTGATATTAGATAACTAATTCTAAGTAAAATTTTTATTTTAACTAAGTCATTTCTGCCAGTGAGTGAGAGAGGTAAATCCATCCAGCATTGAAGATCATTTGCAATGGATTTGAGTAAGTGTAGTTAAGTTGGAACAACTCTAACACCTTTGGAGAGATGTTGACACTAAAGGCCAAAAGACACCAGCGGCAAATGCCACATATGCCCCCAATGTACAATTCCACAAAGGTGGCAGCTAGACCCGCATCAGCACTCCTGGATGCACCACCTTGCAGCATTTCATGCCACTGTCCTATTTCCAGCCTTGCTACCCCCAGAATTAAATGCATATTTCCCCCACTCACTCTCTGCTTGTACATATCAGCTCCCGTAGAAGCTCTTTTTCTCTGCTCCTCTGGCAGCTCGACTATTCTCCTCAGCATAAAAGAACACAGAAAACTCTGTAACTGTTGCTGTGTCTCGTGTGATGAAGAATGGATGAGAAGAGACTTGTTGCTGAGGTCGAGAAATATCTCAAACTTAATGACCCACAACCCTGTCATTATAAAGACAATGGCCAAAAAGATACTTTCTGGTGAGTCAAAGCTCTGGAGATCAGCTCTTCAGGGGCTGTCCACACATGATTCAAGCTAATGCAGAAGTAGAAGAGGTACAGACCTCTCTGTAAAGGTAGTAATAACTTTATATGGTTGCCTGTTGACAAGCTGTAGCACGATGTTTCCAGTGTGTGCTAGAGGTGTCACTTGACATGCGTCACCTGACGCACTGGTGCAGCACCAGTGTATTTTCAGCTTTAGATATCTAATATTCCTCAAGGGTGAAGGAAAGAAAGGTATCATGACTGCTCCATTCCATTTACCCTTGGTAAAATCATGGATTTGGCCCAGTTTATGGAATGATTATACAAAAATACATACGTAAATAAAGGTGTGGTTACCTGGGGGGAAATGTCAGGGTAGTGGAGGAATAACAGCACATCATCTGCATAGAAGCCATTTTTTGTTGTGTGTTACAAAGCTGAACAAAGGTTTTGGTAAGAAAAAAAACAATGTAATGTTCTGTGAATTTTGGAAATAACAATGGAGAGAGAGTAAGCATCCTTGTCTTGGGCAGTTGTGTAGCTTGTATCTTAATGACATTAACCCATTTGTGATAATGTGTATTAAGTCCTAATCCAAATCAATAATGATTCCCCAAAGTCAGGCTGTTGTAGGGTCATGTGAATTCATTTTGTCCAAAGTTTTTTCTGTATTGTGTAATAGCATTATTGTTTGTTCTTTGTTGTTTGCTGTATCATTTATGAAATAGTCTTATATTTATATAGGTATTTGATGGGTGCCTACCTTTGATAAATCCAGTTTGGTCATGTGGGAGTCTTGTGGTTAGAGTTTACTCATATTTTTTAATGTCTGTGTTCAAGAATAAGTGTGAGATCTGTGCCTAGTTTGAGATGAAATACAGTTGCAGTGTTCATTTGTAACATATTTTACTGTTTTCCTTTATTTCTGATGCCATTCTGAGGAATAATGGGGTGAGAATGGACCAAAACTCTTTACATAACTCTAAGTGGAATCCCATCTGTTCCAGGGCTCTTATTATTTAACATTTTATTTAATATTCATTTCATAACTTAATAATTATAGCCGTCAGATGAATGTGTTTAGTAAATTAAGACTTAATGTCAGATGTACGACGTACTGTGCAATTCTTGGAAAATGTCATTTCTGTCCTGGAGGTTGTAGAGGGTGATCCCTGCAGAGTTTTTCATGGCAGTTAATGTTTTCACTTTGTCCTGCTTTATGCTTAATTTATTCTGTGCGCCTATGTGTACTGTATGAGCTGATGCAAGCACCTCTTGTGCATGCCAGGCATATATAATAGCCTACTACGGTGGGTTGTGTATTGCATGCATGTTGGGACCAGAACTGTCTGAAAACCCCACCTCCCAGCTCTTATATCCTATCAAATCTTTGCATCTGTGGTGCCTGGTGCATAGTCACAATTTTCAGGAGGTGCACAGTGCCTCTCTATAGCTCTTTGTGAGCCCTACAAATCATCTCTGTGGCTCTGTGAAAGATCTGTATAAGCTTTTTCAAAGAAGAATAAATTAAGCATTAGCTTGCTTGCTAGTATTTTTACTGTTTTAATGTGTTCAAATTTATTGTAGTGGGGTGTGCATTTTCTCAGCCTTTGGTTTTCTGTTGAAAATGGTTTTCTAGTTAATTGTCTCTTCTTTTATTCTTAGATTATTTTATCTATTCCCTGCCTCCCAGAGAAGTGCAAGTGAGGTTCTTGTGGACCCATTCAGTTCCATTAAAGATGCCCACTCTTATTTCATGAGTGTGTTGAACTCAAAATTTTCAAGTAAATGGTAAATGGACCTGCACTTGTATAGCACCTCTC